TTGGACGTCATACATCAACCTCATAGATTTGTCCTTGTTCCTTTTCTCCTTCCCTCCCTCCCTTTCTCCCTCCCACCCACTTCGTCCGACCCGCCCAAGCGCGCGAGGAAAATGGCGATGATCAGGTTCGCGATATGGGCCACGCCGGCCCCGACACACTGCTTGCTGCTGTCAAGCACCCACACCATGAAGGGCCGAGGAGGGTGCTCTCGGTAGCGTTTTACCACCAAAACGCCGAGCGAGAGGCAGGCAAGGAGGAATTGCTGTGGCGGCAAGGAGGAGTTTACCGAGGGGGGGGGAGAGGGAAAATTGACGAACCAGAAAAAAAGTCAGTTGTGCGAAAAGACACAGAAAAGGACAGCATGAGAACATGATAAAAATATGTGGAGTCTGGGGTCGAAAACTTGGATAGTATGACAAGTAGGTCCAGGCGGATCGACTGGTACGAAGGACAGACACGCGAGAGCTAAGGCTATACGGACTTACTATGAACATGTCGAATTCCCCAGTTACCAACTTCGCACCGCGTCCACGTATTCATTCATAAGAGAAAAAAATGAAGTGCATGAAGTGAGATAGGTCGCCTGGGGGGAACTGGGCCCTTCTGTAAATCATGACTTTAAGAACTTTCGTACCGTGCAATGTGCAACGACAACGTCCTCCATGGGGTCGCTGCCATTTGCGGCCAACCTGTCTGCCTCGCGCCCTTCCAGCCCCATGTCTATCTTCAGGCACGTCAACCTCGGTGATGGTGCACGTGGAGCTCAATGTCGTTGCGTTCGAAGTGACGAATGTAACTACTCCTGTTTACTGGCACGCTGCTAAATCGATCTTGAACCCTTTTTGTCGATGATCCATGTGGAATCTCACCCCGTAGCGGACACTCATCAATCCCTGCTCCTGGTCTACTTGGGTGGTGGGTGTGAAAGACACGTTCTTAGTTGAAAGAGAGGCAAAAGGCACTTAGTCATGTTTCTATCGCTGTCCTTTTTGGCGTGCCGCTAGGGTCGCCTGAGGCGCAGGGGAGACAAAGGGCAACGCCGGGGTCGGGGAAAACGAAGTGGTCAAATGTCAAGATCGGCCGTGCTTAAGGCGACATCCGCGTCAACGTGCATTCTCGGGACATTGTAGATGCTGTAATGATTCACTTGGTGCGAGACAGGGCTGCATTTGCGGGTGAATCGTGAGAAAGGGTGGGTGCTCGCGTGGATTCAGCCTTGAGACCTCCGCTAGCACCGACGTAATCCATCGAGGCACTCCAAGCCCGGTAAAAATATGCACAAGCTTTCCGTGTTGCATTCTTACGTTGGAGTGAGGACTTCTGGAAGAGTAAAGGCTTCACGCTTGGCTACTGCATTGAAATGGTGACTCGTGTTTGGCTAAAAGTGCGGTTTCGTAGCTATTATACGAGCATCACTCCTCCGTTCCTGCCATGGTAGCTCCCTCTCTTCTTTTCTCTCCACTCATGTCTCTGAAATCAACCCTAACGACTCATAGGGTCGTCTCATACTTCCTGATAGCAGTCTTGGCACGGTAGCAATGGTAAGTGTAGCTCCCTCGTGTCGATTTTCCTTCTTTCCTGTCCCACCCCTCGGGACGGACCCTGGCGTCATACCACGCGCTCACCACCGCTTCTCCCCACTGCCGGCATTCAGGCGGACGAAGAGCCCGTCGACACAATGCCTGCGATCAGGGAGGCTGTCAAGCCCAAATGTGCGGCCGATTGGAAAGACTACCAGGTGTGTGGGCAGGCCGTGACTCGGAGGGAGAGGACCCTTGCATGAATGGAAGAAGGACGTGTATCTCAGCTGGCTGGAAGCCTTGGAAATGGCTGGATAACTCATGTGGGCCGATCTTAAAAATGCTTTGAGAAACGGAGCCCTCTGTTGGTTTGAGAGGCGGTCTCGATGTAAAGCTGTCAGCTTCAGGGTTTAATGGGAGTCACGTCTTCTTCCCCCTCTAATCCTCGAACCCCCCCTCGCTTTCTCTTTCCCTGCGACTTTCGTCACGGCACTCATGGACCTCTGAAATCCCGTCTTATGTGCTCCTTTCCTCACTCCTCGCCATGCCCTCAGGGGTGCGTGTATCGAATCCAAAGTCGAGGCGATGGGACTTGCGAGCCGCAATACATGGAGTGGCTGAAATGCATCGACAAGCACGTGCGTGGAACTTCCTTTCACTCTCCCTCCCTCCTCCCTCCCTTCTCTTAATCATCTTCCCCTGCTCGCGGTCCCTCCTCCACGGCGTCCGTCCACCCCCCCCCACTCGGACCGTTGTATCACCTTCCTGTGTCGTCTCTCCTATTCACATGCCTTGCCCCTCTCTCCCATGTCTCTATCCCCACAGAGCGCAAAGCAAGTTCTGAAAGTACTGAAATAGGAACGGTCGCGAGGGAGGGAGGGAGGGTGAATAATCTGTTTAATGATCACACGAATAAGATT